CCCCTACCCCACAACCACCCCACCCTCTGACAATATCTAATCTTTTACAAATCCAGAGCCTCAGCTTTCTTCATACCCACAAACCGCCCTACCGTCTAACTCAAATACCTACATAAGCACCATAATTCAATTAAATTAAATTAAATGATAAAGTTAGCCACTCCCATTTTCCATAAATAATAAATAGCCCACCTTCACTTAAATTTCAACCTAAAAAAAAAAGAAAAAATAAAAATCCCACTCGCAGCTCCAAGAAGAATCAGTCCAGTCCACGTTCTTTCTCTCAAACCCTCTTAAATACATCTTTCATTCTCGACCAGTAGTTGTTCTTCCGAAAGAAAGATCTTTCAGATATTATTATTTAGCTGTTGTTCCAAGATTCGATTTTTCTGTCCATATAATAAAAGGTCTCGTCTTTTTATTACAGACAGACAACGATGAAGATTCAGTGCAACGTGTGCGAGTCGGCGGAGGCGAAGGTGCTCTGCTGCGCCGACGAGGCGGCGCTGTGTTTGGGTTGCGATGAGAAAGTTCACTCCGCTAACAAGCTCGTCAGTAAACACCAGAGGGTTCCTCTCTCTACCTCTTCTTCTCAGATGCCCAACTGTGATATTTGCCAGGTTTCTTTTTTCTTCTCTCTTCTCAATTAATTTATTTATTAATTTATGTTTTTTCTTTGACTAATCTTGAAATTCATAATTCTTCCCTATTTTCCTTTCATATATATATATTCAAGAAATGTTCGCTTCTTCAAAATTGATATTTCTTGATCAATGATCTTGGGATTGTGATTTGTGAGTTAATTGTTATTATTATTATTAGGGTAAATTACAACATAACCCTTGAGGTACGGTCAAATAAAAAAAAAACCCTCTTGTTTGGATAATTACAACCACCCCTCCGCTATAAATTTTCTTGCACACGTCCACCCTTGCTGTGACAATATTCTAGATTATATGGAATATTCTCAATTTTGTACTCTGTTTTGGTTTTATCCAATTCGAGCTCCATATTTTGAAGCAAGACGATCGTAAGATATGGTTTTTGGCTTGTATATATCAGATTGGTGGTGCATCAGAAACTGCAATTTTGCAAATAACAAGTATAAATTATAGAACATTCCACGGAATCTAGAAGATTATGTTGAAGACACTATGACAGTGGACGTGTAAGAAGATTCTTAGTTGAGGGTAGTTGCAATTATCCAAACATGAGGGGTGTTTTCGTAATTTGACCACACCTCAGGGGTGGTTGTAAATTTACCATTCTGATGTTTTGTTTCCATGGATACGAACTGTGTGTTTGGTAGTGTGTTATGTAATAGCATAGATGTGTACTGAAACCCAACCAGTGGGGGGCAAAACCATGTGTTCATCATGCCTTAATTCCATGACAGATACTTGGGTTACCATACAGTTGTCACAATTCAATTTACTCGAGCACCGTTTAATTTCCGTTGTGCGTATTGGAAGATTGCATTGTTTCTTATTGGGAAATCGATTGAAATTCCTTTTTCTTATTTTTTGTTTTTTGGTCTTCGATTGCTGATTATTTTTTAACACCGAAAAACGGAAAATGTTTACGCAGGAAAGTGCGGGGTATTTCTTCTGCCTGGAGGATCGAGCTTTGCTTTGCAGGAAATGCGACGTCGCTATACACACATCCAACTCCTTAGTTACGGGGCATCAGAGATTCTTGCTCACCGGAGTTAAAGTAGGTCTCGAAGTTGCCGAAAACAATCCACCACCCAGGAATATTCCTTCTCATTCTCATTCACATTCTCATTCTAACGAGAGAATCGCAAGATCGGAAGTGCCACCTCCCCCTAAAAATAAAACCAATGCAGTATCGTCGTCGACCAATAGAAGCTTGCCACCTGTCGTCCAGGCAAGAGTGTCCGATGATGTTTCAGCATCAAGGCTGCTGCCGCCTTACACTGGCGGCTCGCAACCTGGAAGTAGCTCCCAGTGGCAGATGGACGAACTTTTCGAACTCGGCGATGGCAATCAGATTTTCAATTTCATGGACAACGATTTATGCAAGGTATGTTCAGGGGCAATGTTGTCTTTCTTTTTTCCTTTCGACCAATTAATTATGGTTCAAATTATGACTTTTTTTTTCGTTTCTCGTTTTCATCAGGCGGATAGTGGGAAGCTAGGAGATTCGGATTGCTCACCAATTCTACGAGACGGTGATGGGGAATTCGATGGGGATGAGTTCATGGTACAGGTGGCGGATACGTATTGGACGGTGCCGGAGATGCCTTCTCCACCAACAGCATCGGGGCTTCACTGGTCGAAAAATCCACGGAATTACGCGGATTTTGCTGCTTTTGTGCCCGATATAAGTTCCTCGCCTTTGAACAACCGTCACTCAAATCTTGATATATCGAAGCGCAGAAGGCGTTTCTGATAATTTATATGCAGAGGTGTAGGATAGGAGGGTGCTACTACTACTACTTGTCACAAGACGAAGAGTAACGTTTTCATTTTCATAGCGCTTTTGATCGGTTTGTGTATTTGTTTGATTTCTTTTCTCCTAGTTAGTTTCTAGGATGTTTGGAACTGCAATATTTAATAACCTTCATTCAGAGTGATGTATATTTAGTTTAATTGATTGTGTTTTCTTTAAATATATATTATTTTAATTCTCCATGACGAAAGAAAAGTATCAAATAATAAACGAAACGAATGAGGATTTGCAATGTGGAACTAATTGATGGAGTTTACAAACTTGATATAAATTCACTTTGAACATATAAACCCGAAAGCTGAAAGAATATATGAGCTGAGTTTGAATCTACAACCGTGTATATATATGTGGGTACCGGGTTCGGATAATTTTAAGTTCTATTACGTTGCATTTGGATTCGTCGAGAGGATTTGATGATGAATAAATAAATCTTTTTTTTTTTGCCTTTTTTTTTTTTTATAAGTTTTCAACATGTTTACAACATACCGTGTTCTTAATGTATAACTACAGTGGACAAGAACTTAAAAGCAACACAGCTCTCTACTCTTATCTGTGTCAAGTTCAGAAAACTTAACCTGAGTCAGAAAGGCGAAAAGGAAAAACCGAGTGTCGTCCCGAAATCCCGTACTCCTTTTCGTTTCTTTTTTTCTTGATTGGAATGAGTGTCTGTACGTTAAATTAAAGGGAAATCTCTACGTATGCCAACTTTCGAGTATTAGTTGCTGCATAAGGACCGCCAGAATGCTCCCCATCGATATGTTGATCACATTCACGACGTCATTGTTGAGCTGACCAAAAAAAAAAAACGGGGGTCGGAGGAAAATGTGTTATTCAAATCAAGAACACGAAGAAACGATGATGACTACTAACCCACTGAAGTCCTTCCTTTTCTTGAAACGTAGCACCTATAATACTCTCGCCGAGATTAGCAATCTGAGAAGCAATCACGCATACGACTGCTTCACCTACGTTTATCTGTTCACACGTAATTTCTCCATCATCAGTTGCAATTCAAGAATTTACGAAAATTTAACTGCAATATATGTCACAACCATAAATTCAGCCGTTTTATTTCATCCAAAGAAACTAATAAATAATTTTTCGATTTATGGAAAAAAAAAGAATACCGAGTAAAATTTTACCTGGCCCATGAAACAACCAACAGAAGCAAGAAGAATCGAAGCTAGAATTCCAGCAAAAGTCCCCTCGACACTGACCGCCCCTTCGGTCCCCCTCGGAACTATTTTGAATGTCGTGACTAGATAACTACAATCGAAAAAATCATTTCTTTATAAACAAAATATACAAACTCAAATATACTAATTTTGCGTAATTTTGAATCAAGAAAGGGGAAAAGACAAGTACAGACGTAGTTTTGCCGTACGCCTTGCCAATCTCACTCGAGACAGTATCGCTCAATTTAGTACAGAAACTGGCAACAAACCCCAGTTGCCAAAGACTTGTAAACGGCTCTCCACCGATACCGTAGATTAAGAGGGCGGCACAAACACAGCCGGCGGCACTCGATCCAATCACACTACCTGGTCCTCTCCTACCTCTTCTTTTCTCGGCAACCCCTTGTGCCTCCTTTTGTGCCATTTTCACTTTCGTAACTGCCGTACCCTGCAAAACACACACGAATCGATTACCTCGTAGATATAACTAGAAGACGGAAAATTGCACCGTACAGATCTTCAGCCAATCTGAAAAATCGTGTCGATAGTATCACACAATTAAGTGAAACCGCGCGTATTTTACTCGGAAAACGACTCTAAAATAAATTGCTCCTAGAAACCACTAAAACCAGTTTGGAAAATTATGAATCCAGATACAAACAAGTCCAATTTTTTATTTTTTTTTGTCAATTCTTACACAACAGCCAAATATTACTACTGACCAATTCATCATCAAACTGTAAGAGCAGATTCAAGTTTCAAGAACCAACGGAATCTTGAACATGAAAAAGAAATGATTTTTGGCTTACGATGACAAAATAGGTGGCAACAAGAAGGAACCCAGAAGAGCCGAACGCACGCCAAGTAAGCGTGCCGAGCAAGAAAGCCGCAGCGATGCCGGAAAGAGACAAGCCGGAGACGAGGATTGGGGAGCCGATAAGAAAGATCAAGACGTTGTTGAGGAGCGATGACCGCCACGTGGGGGGCGATGATTGGAGCAGCTGGATTGCCTGCTGCAGGAGGCCCGGATCAAGAAGATCATCGGTCGTCGCTTGAATTTGGGTCGGCATTCTTCTGTTCTTCAGTGTTGGGGTTTTGGGGATTGAATTTGAATTTGAATTTGAATTTGAATTTGAAGGGAAGAAGAGGGTTTTTGAATTAGGGTTTCGGAAATTGGGGAGAAAATGTGAGGGGTTTGACTTGGAGGAGAGAGTGATGGCAGTTGGGAGAGAAGCTGCCATTTTTTTTTATAATGTGGTTGCGTTTTGCTTGAGGAAGAAAGGGAAGATACCCACACCTGTTGTACTCAGTCTCAGTACAAAAAAATTGAAAGGGAACAAAATTAAAACAAAAATAAATTTAAATATTTTCTGTTAAAACTTTTCGAAAGTTCTTATGCAATGGAGTATTGAATTAAAAAATAAAGAGCAAATTACGGCCACCTCTGAATTATGATTAAATTACATAAAACCTCTTTTGTTTGGGTAATTACAGTCACCCCTTAATTATATATTATTTTACGAAAATACTCCTCTAGAGCTAAATTTAGGGATATTAAATAGGTAAAATCGAACTGAAATTTCGGTACGCCAATATTTTATACTGCTTACCGAACTAAATATACGATTTGGTTAGGTGAATAATTTAATTACATAAATTTATTTAAAAATATTTAAAATGATGGGTGGCTGTAATTACCCAAACAATATGGTTATTTTTTTTTCATAATTTGGCTATATCTCAGGAGTGACCGTAGTTTAAAGAAAGAAAAAGAAAAAAAGGAATGTTCATTGTACTTCCCATCAACATAGACTTTAATGCAATGTACTTCCACTTCTTATTATACTACACTTTAGTCTCGGTCTTCAATTTTAATTTGTTATTTGCTGGTTTTTTTGGCCTAATTGATTATTTCCTTATGTTTTATTTTACTTTGCACGAAAATCTCATTTTCCATTAAAAGTTAATCCCGTTAACTATAGAGGAGATTTTATGCAAGTTTTTTGTAATATAAGGGGATTTGGAGCATGGTTTTGCAACACAAGGGGGTCTACACAAAATTAATTTATTCATTTAAAATTTAAATTATTTTCTTAAATTAAGTCGAATATATCTATTAATTTAAAATACGAAAACTAAGAAAATAATACTCGAGATGGAAGTTGGAACGAATTCACAAATTATTTATGTTCTTTTCACATATAATTAATCAAGAATAATTATAAAAATATATAGTAATTCTAATAATATAATTATATAGTTAATAAATTATATCATATAAATGGATTTTTTTTTCTTTTAAACATTCACCACACCTATTAAATTTTTATTTTTCATATTGTAACTGAATATTTGTGTTCAACTTAATTTCAAAAAATAATATGAAATTTAAACAAATAAATTATTTTTTTGCATAAAATCTCCTAATTGTACTATAGAAAATATCCACTAAATTCCCGTTTGTTATAAAAAATTTGCATAAAATCCCCTTTATAGTTAACGACGTTAACTTTTAACGAAAAATGGAATTTCGTGTAAAATAAAATAAAACACAAAGAGGTTTCATGCAAGAAAAAAAAAACACAAGGGATTTGACACAGATTTTTCTTAACACTGGGATTTTATGTTGTTTACCTTAATGTAATAGTATATGAATAGTTTGTGCTCAGTTAGTAATCTACTTTATATTCAGTATATCTTGATTAAAAAGAATATAAAAATGAGAACTGGAGTGCAAATTACTATGAAACAGTGCAGTGCAATATATGAATTTTAATTTGTAAGTTACATATATAGTTCCGACATCAACTAATTATTTGTTGAGTCATAATCATGGTATCGTCAGATTACCTGGGATTTAATTTACATGTAAGTTTCATAATGTATCACGATATAAACAAATATTGAATTTAAAAATAAAAAAAAAATTACCAAAGAGAAGAAATGAAATTATTTAATAAAGAGAATAAATTAAATATTGGATTTTGGATTAGTAACGAGAATAGCATAGAGCAAGTAATTCCACGTGTCGGGGACGCCAGCAAGGCACCAATGGCTGCAGTCATTCCCCTTCAGCCCACCAATTCCATAAACCGAAGGATGTCCATCTTTCCTTAATTCCGACAGTGACGTCACGTCCAACAAACCCACCGCCACCCTACTCATATTACTCAGCACCCCCTTCACCACCGCCACTGCCGGCGGCGCCCCCCCTGGATACACCTCCCCACTCACCGGTTGACTTTCTCCATTGCATGTTGCTCCCTTTGACGCAGCATTATTCCACTCCGAACCACTGAATAATAATAATAATAATAATAATAATAATAATAATAATAATAATAATAATAATAATAATAATAATAATAATAATAATAATAATAATAATAATAATAATAATAATAATAATAATAATAATAATAATAATAATAGAAGGGGAAAAAAGAAGGTTATTAATGATTACTTGTAATGAGTAGGAGAGATGCCTTGAAAGAAAACCAAGGCAATGTTTGGAACCGTTTTGGATCTTATTTTGATTTCATTTTGAGGAAATATGTTTTGGGGGAATAATGTGAGAATGAAAGTAATGTTTGTTTGTATTTTGGAAGGAGACAAAATACATTGTAGAAGTCAAATCATGTTTAAAGGTGTTAGAAAAAGATATTTTTGAAAAAGAAAATTGAAAGGTGAAGTGATGTTTATTTGTTTTTTAGTGAAGACATTTTTTACTGTAGCAGTCACATCATGTCTGGAGGAGAGAGAAACTTTTGAAATTGTTTTGAGAAAATGATTTGAAAAGTGTAATAAATCCCATTTTGTTTTGGGGAAACAGTGAGAACAAAATAAAAACGGTTCCAAACATTGCCCAAAGTTTTGGAGGGATTAATGTTGGAATCAACCCACTTTGACCATGTTTTTAATCCCCAACCGAATGCTATCAACCGATCCATGTCTTTATAATATTTTCCACCTTGTTGTATATAATCCCATCTGTAATATTAATCTATTAATTACTCATCATCATCATGTGTGTGTGGGATTTTTCAAATTTTTTTTTTATTGAAAAAAATAATAAGGAAAAAAAGTAATTATGAAATGCATACGAGATTTGATTTCCCTTGTGAAGCCACCAGTGCCATGTATTGAATATAAGCATGTCGTAACCTTTCCACGAGTTTCCGTTTCGGATCGAGTCGAGCTTCAGAACTCTGCCTCTCTTTTTATCAATAACGAGATCGACAAGAAACGCATTTCTAGATAGCATCAATGAGATGTTATAGTCCTGCATTCAACATGCAATATCAAATATATATAATACTCAAATAAATTAAATCTTTTTATTATATGTATGTCTAATATATGTGTAATAATATGTATGTTTGCATGCATTTGTATTTAAGCTAGGAACGATTTGAAACAATTCCGCATTTACCCAATGATCGAATTTGTACGATGATTAATTAAACTTTAGGACACAAACAAACCGGTATATAAAACGTGGAGAGATTGCCGATCTTTTTCAAGGTGAAATTAGCGTTAGGGAGTGACGCATGCAAAATGCATGTTAGAGATTGCCACTGATTCAAGCTAAGCGAATCCCCCACGAACATTATTTTCTTCCCCCGAAACCTCGTCACGAAATCTTGCGCACTAAATCTGCAAAAAAGAATTATTAAGTTGACAACAATTTTTTTCTTAATTATATATAATATATATTATAAATACATACTTGGGAAGTTCACATCCAGTAGGCTTCCATTTATAGTTGAGGTAGAGCTTATCGGGCCTTCCATTTCCGAGACAATCGAATTGTTTATCGATAAATGAACACATGGAAGCATCATAAGCGGGGTTTTCTGAATCATCGTATATCCAACTTCCTTTGGAGAAATCGCACGATCCGGCGTCGATGCAGTACGAGGGTCGAAATATTAATATTATATTTAGTATCAGAAAAGTGTAACTAAATGTGAAGAAGTTGTTCATGGATTTATCATGTCCCATTTTCTTAGCTAATCAGGGAGATGGTGTGACAACAATATATATATAAATCCTAGGAAGGAAAGAAAGACTATATATATATATATATATATATATATATATATATATAAAGGTGTTTGTTGGGGCATAACTTCCTATTGGTAGATTTTGTCTTAGAGGGAAAGGCAAATAAAATAACCTCATCATTGGTAAAAATTCATGATTGCCCATGATGTGTTATTTGGTACTAATTAATTTTGATTTCATGTTTTATTACATGATCATATGTTAGTATGTTTTTATTACTAAAACATTAAGTCCTTTTTTTTCTTTTTTGACAAAACACAAAATCGAATTTTTTTCCCAAAAAAAAAAAAACACTAGATTATATGATGATTCATGATGAATTACGTACTTAGATACAAATCGTCGATTTATTTACTCATGAACAGACGCAATTCCTTTGCTGCGGATAGCTGCATTCGTAGTACATTAGAGTGTCGAATGGAGGATTTTTGTTACGGTTCATCGTTAATTAATTATATACGAGCAGCCTTATCATGATTTATCTTCTTACATACATAAATAATTCCTTCTACGAAAAGCATTGCATATTTTACATATGTTTTCCTCATCATTGCATGCACTATTTCTTTACTTCTTCCTCAATCAATTGATGCGATCTCTTGAGTATCATAAGATTTCTTTACTGAACGTAAGAAAACTCTTCTTTATTATTTCTCTTCATTATAAAACCCTAGCACAAGACGACTATTTAAAGATAATAAAACCCTAGAATCCTAATCTAACTAGAAAAGATAATTACCTATACTAATTAAATACTTAATAATCTCCTAATTACTAAACAGACGGCTATAATATATATCCAAAATATACTATTTTATATAATTAATAATTAACTATTAACTAAACTAATAATTAAATAATATATTAAATAATAATTCGTATCACAATGTCTGTGTGTCATATCACTATAATAAATATCTTGCTTATTGCATATGTAAATCGACTATAATTAATCGGGTATTATTAGATCGTAAGAGCTCTTGATCTTGCGTGCAGAGATCAGATAATCGAAAAATATATCTCCAATAAATTGTGGCTAGATCGACTACTTCATCACATGTCTCCACCATCGTTGACTCTTTAACGTATTGTTTGTTATGGTCAAACAATTCATTAAACATCATACAAATATATTTAAATAATTAATTAAAGAATGATGAGGTTGTAAAGAATAAGATTCCAAGTATCAGGTACACCTGGCAGGCACCAATGGCTGCAATCCATTGCTCCGAGTCCGTAAATGGAAGGGTGTCCGTCTTTCCTTAGCAATGATAGATTTGTTACGTCGAGTAATTCTACTCGTACTTTCTTTATTTTGCTCGTAAGTACTTTCTTCAGTACCGTTAGTGCTGCCGGCAATCCACCTGGATACGTCGATCCCACCACCGGCTCTTTCTGCCCCACACACGATTTCGCTCCCGGCTCGTTCCATGCACTCCCACTATTTTGTTATTCACATTATAAAAGTAACAGCAATTAATTTAAAAAAAAAAAAAAGATATAGTACTTGAAAATTAACGTTGGTAATTTTTTTTTCATAATGTCACTAATCCTTGATCCGAATACTGACCATGGTCAACGAGCTGGTTAACCGACCGAATCAACTCTAGTTTTCTTAACCCAAAAGCATTGCAAGTATCAATGGGGGTAGTAAAATGAGTCTAATACATGATGATGACTAGCTATTGATTTCTCGATAATTGAGGGCAAAATGGTAATTAACTAGACAATCGTGTGCAGAGAGAAAGTGAGGTTACTTGTAATGAGAAGGAGAAATTCCTTGAAAGAAAACTTTGGTGATGGTAGGATCAATGTTCGTGTCAACCCAATTAGCCCATGTGTTTAATGCTTTCTCGAAAGCAACAACCCTATCCATGTCTTTGTATAGCTCTCCCCCTACTTCAATATAATCCCATCTGCACAAATTCACGTCAAATCAAGGCTTCGTTTAGTTGTCAAGATAAGATTAGTCAAGATAAAATTAAATAATCTAATGAAAATTCAAGTATTTTATCAGAACCCCCGAGACGTCTAATAAAAAAGCTTCCAAAAAGGCAAAATATGATAACATAATATTTGCAGGTCGTCCATGCAAGTTATTGGGATACAAAAACATCAAAATACTAATCTCCTCAAACAAACGAGACCCAAATCTATTAATATTATCTCTTCTCTCCACCTAAATACTAATTAATGAATAAAGGGCAAAATTGGTATAAAAAAATTGTATTGAAATTTTAAAACGACAGATAACATGGGAAATTTAAAGAAATTTGTGGCTAATAAAAAAACGTACGGTTGGGTTGGGCCTCGACGATTCCACCAATGCCACGTGTTGAAGATGAGCATGTCCATTCCCAACCACCTTTTCCCACCTTGAATTGAATCCAATTTCAATATTCTACCTTTAGCTTCTCTCACCACATCCACCAGATATACACTATGATCCAGCATCACTTTCACTCCAAACTCCTAAATTATATGCAATTAAGAAAGAAATAACTCTAGTTATACACTTATGTGTGCAAACCGAAAGTCTATATTCAAGTTAACTAATCACTACTTTACGTTTTCTTGTGTGTTGTGATTAATATATAACGTTACAGTTATCCTCTATAAATTAATACAATCGGGAATAACAAAATTCTATTAATTTAGCGAAATATTAAATTATCAAACTAATACATTAGTATCGGGACCGAAAATAATTATTATTTATGCAAAATTAATAATTTATCGAGATTCTACTATAATATTATAATATGAAACATAATCTTGTTGAGGGACTACGACAACTAATAATAGGGGTTTGTTTTTAAAATTTATGTGTCGGTTAGGTCCACTTGGGCAAGGAAAGTGTAACTAGCAGGTGCAAGTGGGGCGGCCTTTTCCCTCGTGAAGGAATCAATTCGTTTTTGGAGTGCTTAAACTTCCAATTTTGCTCAATAAATATCCATATAGTAGATATTCAAAATGCAATTTCAAATTCCTTTTGCCTATAAAATAAATGGACGCGACTCTCTCGAAATTAAGTAGTAAAATTCAATAACTACATAAAATATAGCCAAGAAAAATATATATACTAGTCCATCTGTCCCATTTTACTTTTTTTTTTTTTGCATTGCATATATTAAAAAAAATCAATAAATGTGTATCGATGATAGCAAAAAACATAGGAAATCACTAAAATATCATTGTAATTAATTATTTTTCAGTTAATTAATTAAGAGTGATAAGGGTAAAACTGAAGACGGTGCACTTAATGCTTCGTTGGAATTGTATAGTGACAAATAATTTGAGACAGGAAAAACTCTGTGAAAAAGACAAATAATATGAGACAAATAGAGTGTCTTAATAAAACTAACCGTAAAAGTGAAGGTAGAGAGGTCGGCGGATGTGGTGGCGGTGTACTTGGTCTCGGGCACGGCGGTGTAAAGCATACATATGAGTGAGAGCCATTGGTTTCGGCTGAGGGAGTCTCCCACAAACATTATGCTTTTCCCTTTGTATTTCCTCAACAACTCTACCCCATCAAATCTGCACTTATTATATCACTACTACATATAAATATGTACCGAATACTCTCCGATTTCGTATTTAAAGTTTCGTTCCAAGTATTAAGAATACTACTAATAACTATGCATGCGTTTTTTTTCTTTTTTTTTTTTTTTTTGAATAAATAAATATGCATGAGTTTTAGGGAGAAAAAAAAATCACTTAATGGACTGAAGTATTTATTTTTATTATTTCTCTGTAATAATTCTCTCTCCATTAATTAGGAGCATGTGCCAAAATAAATTTGGAGATTCAAACGTTTGAACTACTTCTGAGTTCACATGGAAGATAGCAGCAGCCACATGTATGATATATGTTTCAGTATCTGAACGGTCTATTCTATGCACACACAAACACACACATCCACGTTGGTGTGTGTAAGAATGTAGATCGACGGTAAAAATCACCCGGTGTGATCTTCACCAGGTGTAGTATAGAAATAACTGTATCTGAACATTATGATGCAACGCATAATTATATTATTAACCTACTGAGCACACTGAAAACAAAACACAGCCCCTTGTTTTTCGATTCTGGAACAACATTTTTTCATTCCGAGAGTTCTTATTTTTTTGGAACATAACTGAAATACACATTCGATTCCGACTTTAAATTCCAAACAATTCCGATTTTTTCTAAAGTTATTACTATTACTATTACTATTGCTATTATAAGTGAAACCGAATTGAAAATCCAGGACTCGCCCGATTTTGGAATAAAAAAATTCATTGGATTTTTCTGAAAGGAGTTGGATTTAATTTTTCAATTTCGAAAAAAAAAAAAAAATTGAAATGTTTTCGAAAATGCTAGTCCCAATTCCATTGGTTCGATTTCCAACCCCTATAAGGTACAATATTCACCTCTCTTTATTGCAATATTCTTATTCAATTACAGGAAAAGGGTGAATATAATTTATATAATAAAAATTTTAATTATATGATTTACCTTGTTTATACTTACAATTTAAGTGGTAGCCCAATTAAAGTCGCGTTTCAAAAACATATATAAAAGTAAAACATAATCTATATTAAAGTCGTGTTAATTGTAGGTGCATTTACTACAGCAAAAGACATATATCCCCCGTGAGTTTTTTACACTTTTTATAATAATCTAATCATCAAATTAAAGCACCGGAAACTATGCAAATACTACGTCGTTTCATTGTAACAATATTCTGTTTCTTTATAATATGTTTGTTTTAATCCAATTTATGAAATATAATAGTAAAATGAAATTCATAGAATATAATGGGATTCACGGATGTAGTAATGAATTGAATAGTAGTGTTTACCTACCTGGATAAGTTGCAGGAATGGGGTTGCCAGCTGTACTTAAGGTACAAGTGATCGGAGCGGCCATTGTTGATGCAATTGAACTCCTTCTGAATGAACGGACACGATGAATAGTCGGAGCCTCCTCCGCCGCTCAACACCCACCTTCCTTGGAACAGATCACACCTTTTCTCCGCATTTGTTAATAGAATATTAATACTAATTACTATAATTACCAATCGTATTAATACACTACTACTCATCTCTCTCTCTCTCTCTCTCTCTCTCTCTCTCTCTCTCAAACAGAGAGATTGCTGCAGAACAGAATAGTTTAAAGAGAAGAGAATTACTCTCTCTCTCTCTCTCTCTCTCTCTCTCTCTCTCTCTATCTATCCATCTATATATATTTATAGAGAGAGAGAGTGTGTGTTGTTGTGTTGAGTGCGTGTCTGTTGGTTTGGAGAGGATGGGGAAAGGGATGGGAGTTATTTTTATGACCAAATGTTAGGGACTGGTCCCCTGTCTAAAAAAACCTAAATTAATTAATATTTACTTATCTTATTACAGTTTTATTATAACAATAAACTACTATTATTATTATTATTTGAAATTTAATGCCAAAGAAAAAGAAAACGTATGAAAAGAATGCAAAGTGTAATTTGAGTGTAATTTGACACGTAAATGTCACTAATTTCTCACCAAGGGAAAAAGAAAATCCAAAAAAAAAAGGAAAACTGAAAGCAAACAAGCAAAACAGATCCTCCATCCAAAAATTAGTTAAAATGACACGTATCGTTTTTTATATGCTACATCCGATAAAGATTATACTGAGTGGATTTTTATCGTTGATTTACGCACACCAATGTAGGTGTGTGTTTGCGAGTTTTTGAATGATAAAGATCTCCTTGATGTGTTTCACCCAGTTTAGCATAGTAGATCTATTGAGCACGGTATTAAATATGGTATCAAATCAATTAATTACCATTTGATTCCCTGAATTTCAAAAAAAATAGTATCAATTATTCCTAAAAAATATCTACCAATATTAAATGTTATATATATATAAATGGGTGTGTTATTTAAAAATTCAAAATTAAAAATAATGATAAAGGATTGATATTTGTATTTAATAGATATGAGTGTTTGATATGTATGTAATATGCATTGGAGTTTTTATAATTTTCGGATGAAGTCAGTTTTTTTAATTGCATCAAAAGAGTCCCTTTAAAGAGTAGTTAGCAAGTGATATACAACTGATGCTGTGTAGTAAGAGCTACTTTGTCTGTGAAATTGGAGCAAAAAGAAAAGTGACAAGTGAATCGAGATAATAATGATCATCAGAACTTTCGTGAAAAAAATCGAACTGGCGGGCGAATGAAAATCCTCGTCCTCGATTTAAAAGTAAAAGTAAAATAACAATAATAATGAAATATTGATTGGATCTAACATCACCTCAAGAACAGTTCATCTTCTCAAGCTCTTTAAACATCATACAAAAAAAATGTCAGAGTGAAATAATAACTTTTTACAACGAATTACAGGAAATACGAAAAAAACTTTTATAACATTTTCAGACAAGTTCATCAACATTGCTTTCTCTTGAGGATCGAAAAAAAACCAAAAACACAAAATGTACACACAATCTTAGAGAAATAAAAAATAATATCTAGGAAGTCGTGTGTCTTCACACATCTCTCTTCTCCCAGTAATCAGTATCGGCAGCGATAGGATAGAGATCACCTGCAGTGGATGCTGAAGAACCAGTCCATGGAACATCCATAGATATGCTCTGCCCCTGACCATCTTCATTAGCTGTTTCCTTCGAATTTGTCCTGTCGTTCGAGACAGTACTTGTGTCTGAAAAGAACTCTCCGACAACAGTTTTGCCCTCTAGAATGCTTACCACTGCCGACATACTCGGCCTATCTGTGGCTACAACATTCGTGCAATGGAGAGCAACGTTTATGGCCGACAAAACCTCTTTTTTCTTGAACTTAGATTCCAATCTTGGGTCCACTAGATCCATCAATTTTCCCGTCTCCTTCAACGAATTTGCCTAAAAGTAAGATAAAATAAAATGGTTCATCTTCGTAGTTCTTGTGTAGACATAGAATGTGTTAAGCCTATAGGAATGTAAAAGCGTGAAACCGTGGTAACTAAATGTACCCAGTCAAGAAGATAGAAGGTGTCATCCCGGCTCCTGCTGCTAGAGTTGCTTCTTCCACTTATAACTTCTAAAAGAACGACCCCAAAGCTGTATACATCTGCTTTGTCTGTCAAATGGCCTCGCATCGCATATTCAGGCGCCATATATCCACTGGGAAATCAAATACCATGTCAGTAGTGTTTCTGTCGTGGTTTTTATCGGAATAAAAAGTTGATTTTTTTTAATGTTTTTTCTGTAAAAGTATAGACTTAAACCTCATGATATAAAGCCTACAGCGGGACACAGTAGGTATTCTATGAAATCAATGGCTCGATCATTGGTCATATAAAAATAGTAAAATAGATAAGTATGAATAATTTTGATTACTCACTAAGTTCCAGCAATGCGGGTGCTTATATGGGTGTTATCCTCTTCATCGAGCTTGGCTAGTCCAAAATCAGAAATCTTAGCCATAAGATCTTTATCAAGAAGCACATTTGTAGCCTTGATATCACGATGCACAATTTTAAGTCTCGATTCTTCATGCAGATAAGCCAAGCCTCTGGCTATACCAATGCAGATCTTGTGTCTTGTCGGCCAATCCAAATGAATTTGGTGTTCTTCTTTACCTGCAAACATTTATCTTCATAAATAAGTTTAAACTTTAAATAGAAGAAAAAAAATAATAACATGGATCGGTGCACATAAGTTCGTGTATCTCGTTTTCCATCCACTGGAAGTAAAAGCAGCAAAGATAGGATTGTGGGCGATTTACCAAATAATGCACGAGCAAGGCTATTATTTTCCAAGTACTCATACACAAGCAACAACTGGTTGCCTTCAATGCAACATCCATGCAGCTTAACAAGATGAGGGTGTTGTAGAGCAGAAATCATGCCAATTTCATTGACAAACTCACGGTTCCCTTGTTTTGATTTGGCAGAAAGCTGTTTTACGGCGATGACAGTACCATCTGATAGGACACCCTTCAAATAAGACAGGTGATCGAAACCAAATAAGAGGTGGCAGAAAAACTGAATGACTTAATGACAAAAAAAAATAATTCATTTAGTAGAAGTATGTATTGTTTATAGTACCTTGAATACAGGACCGAAACCACCTTCTCCAATCTTATTAGCAAGATCAAAATTGTTTGTGGCAGCTTTAATTTCCCTTAGCGTAAATGACCCAGTGTGAAGGTCTACACCCCTTAGTTCTGAGAAAAGAATGTTATGCGTAAATTAGCGTTTTAGATAACTGCAAACACTTTCCAATTACAAATTACAGAATTCAATTTAGATAGCATTTATTCATACTGCACCCTCGAAAAACAAATTTGAACTCATGAGAACAAGATTAGACACAAGTTGAAAGGAAAGGGGCACATATGAAAATAAAATACAGACACAAGTGAGTCAAAGCATTTATGGTTGTGCCAGTAATTTTATTACCGTGTTCAAGTGTGTCTCTAGGTCTCAGACAGCCCTTCCACCAAAGAATACCCAGAACCAGAAAGACTGTGAAAAGAACTGCTGCAACGATACCAACTATAGCCCCTGCAGAAATGCTGCTTCCATTTTCTGATGGTTCTGCTGGTGGCGTAAAATCTGAGAGAGAAATTAGATATACTGTCAAGATAATCACCTTTTTTAGTTTATATTAGAGGAGAGAATGTATCAGACAACTATCTCTTACGTGTTCTAACTTGAAACTTACTGGGATCGACAGATATGGCTGAAATGAGAGGACCGTATACGCCTCTAACAGGAATACCATTTGTCCCTTTCCCAGCCCAATAGAAGCGGATATCCAAAGTATTATCAGCAACAACTGCAGTGAAGTTTTTTATGATTCCCTTGTTAACTCCACCTGCTTCATTCTCGATGTTAAAATCCTTCAGCACCAGCTTTCCCTAAAATTATTTTTTTCCAGAAACCATGAGGGTTTTTCTCAAAACGAAAAACTACAAAAATAAATACAGAGTAGATATCCACTAACATCACATGACAACAAAACTCAATCTGATTCATTCAGAATAAGTTCTCATCCTTTATAAGAGAACCCTTTCAGCTCTTAATTTTTTTTTTCTAGAACATACTCGTTAGAAAAAAGCTTATACAGGTACCTGAATGAACACATCAAACAGACGCCTCCCGATGCTACTGTAGGTTCTGTCATCAGTAAACATGATTTCTGCAAAGTGAAGGTTCACTGTGTAGTTCCCATTTATCAAACAAAATCCATAATAAGTCAACGAGAGTGGGCAAAGGCGTGCATCCATGTACAACTGGGAATTCGGCCCTGAGATGCTTGAGCTGTTTGCCCAGATGTACGAGTCCGTAGGGCGGGCATCATCCAAAAAGTGGCCCGTGCTGCTAACTCCCCAGTTTGTCTTACTTGCAAAGAAATTTGAAGGCCCGCCAGAATATCCATCATCTTCGTATTTAGATCCTTTATCATCATCTACTTGTCTTCCACCACAGTTAATATGGAGAGAGTAATACACTGAAACAAAAGCATGGAAACAATTCCCAATAATTACATCAAAATGAAAAGATAAAAAGTAGGGAATAGACCCATTCAAAGTGAGACATACAAACTAATAACTGTAGCAGTCCAAAAACTCCACCAGAATGTCAAATTACTACATTTATAGACTTGGGTATGGTATGCAGTTTCGTTGAGCATAGACTCGCACATATAAGGAATACACTTAAAGTTACCCCCTCATCCGTGAACAGTGGAACAGAAGTTTGAATGATAAAACAAAAGCTGAATAGAATGCCAAATCAGAAGAAAAGGAAGTCCATCTATTACCCAGGAAAGAAAACTGATAAGGTGAAGCATGATAAAAAGAAAGCTATAGTATAATCAGGCAATTGAGTTTTTTTGTCGGCATCACATTCTAAAATAGAACCATGTGTGGTGTTACATGAAAAGAATGAACTCGCTTCGCTTTTCAGCAATGAATGAGGAAAGATGGAGAGAGGCGCAGTAGCTACTATTAATAAATGGAATTATGAAAACATGGGGACTGTCACTTGACATCCTCTCTTTAAGGCACTCATTTGGAATTTTATAAATTTAGTATCACTTTATTCCGGTGCCCAACCAAATCAACATCTCCGAATAAACACTCAATGTTTAAAGAATGTTACTTACTTCGCTGGCATGTGGTTCTTAAGCAGGAAACAACACCCCTGCCAAGAGAATGTATATTTTGATATGTAAGCTTTATATTACAGTGCAAAACGAGATTTAAAACAGAAATTTTGTGAAACCAAATGAAGAAACTTACGACGTATTTCCTTTGGAGCTTGCAAACAAGTTCCTGAAAACAATTGGTGCATTTTACTCAGATGAGGAAAATCAAAAGCAATAAATTCACTTAAAGATAAGTGTTCGTAATCTCACAAGTTGCGTGGCTGACAACTTGAGGCGGAACTTTCAGATGTTAAGTTGTTGTAAGATACGTCACTGCATAGAAAATTAATAGATTTCAACTTTGTTGGTTATTGGATTTTGAGCATCCAATATTTTTATGTTAAAATGAGAAAGTCATTTCATCATGAGAGAGAGAGAGAGAGAGAGAGAGAGAGAGAGAGAGAGAGAGAGAGAGAGAGAGATATCAAATTGTGGGTTTCTTCATGAGCCAAATAAGAGATACATGGGGAGGAAACCTTACATTCTGTCGCCGTCTTTCATCATCCATTCTGGCAGCGGCCCACTTAGGGAGTTCCCAGTTAGATAGCTAGAAAATAAACATGTTGAGTTAGCAATCTCAACAGTTCCTTAAATATTACAACTTGTCATAGTTAAACTAGCAATATTTTGTTTCAAACTGATAATAGGACAGCAATCATACAGTTTCAGTGTATACCTGTAAACTCACCAGAAAATTATGTTCCATAAAAATCTAGCAACTAACTTCTATGTTGGAAAAGAGACCCAAATTTGACGGTAATAAATCTTACTCATAGACCTTGATGAACAGTTGACATACTAAGATGGTGCTCTAACTTCTACCTATAAATTTCCATAATTGTTTAAACATTATGTGTAACAACCAGATCTAAAACTTTCGAACATTTAACACTCTGAAACTCAGAGTTGATACAGAGTAAGAGAAAAAATTACAATGTTGAGATCTGAAGCAAAGAGAAGGCGTTGTTACCACGGAAAAATAGCACACTCTAAAGTTCATTTTGTATTCACTTTTTTGTCAATTTCCGAACAAATAAGATATGTGCCGTATGCAAATTGCTTTTACTGTCAAGTGGCACTGGAACTTAAATGGTCTCCACCGTGCCACCTTGGTCTTCATTTTTAAGCTATTTGATTTAAATAAAAAATTGTCTAATCCAATAAAAGCAGCTACTAGAGCTTGAAAGTATAAAATCTTACATGTAATCCGTGTTTGCTAGATCAATATAGGTGTCGGGAATCGGTCCACTTAATTTGTTGAAACTCAGGTCTCTGCACAAGAAAAGCAATTTCTTACAAGATGACATTTTATATTTAATTGATCTCAGATGTGAACGCTGGCATACAGCAGTATTACAAAGTTTTGCAGAAATCAAGAACACCTTAACAATACTGTAACCAATAGAAGTTTTGGATTCTTGTTTCTTTTTTCCCTTTTCGCATTCCACAGTATATATAGTACATAAATACTAGACACAGAGAAAAGTTTCCACTTACAAGACTTTCAACGTTTTCATTCCTCCAAGATAACTTGGCAACTCCCCGATGATATTGCAACTCCTCAATATCCTGCATAACAATTTTCATTGAGTCACACAAAAAGCAAAGTAATGATTTATTTTGTGACGGAGCAACATACAAACATCACACTTACAGTGTCTTCAGCTTTTTTATGTTACTAAGATCTGGAAAAGTTGATACATTTCCGCTCAAGTCACTGATTCTCCTGCACATTTAGAGTAGGTGTAAAGCATCAGATATTTCTTCTCGTGCTCAAAGAAAAATTACTCATTGTTCATTGTCAATTTAAATGAGCTTATACGGTAAATATCACAATCTATACTCACAAGTCGGTCAATTTGGTTAGGGAAGCAATACCGGAAGGAATTGGCCCAGTCAGACCACTGGCCTGAATCGCCCTGACATTATGAAATTTGAATCTCAGCTTATATGAGAACCCCATTATATCAAAGGCTAAACAGTAAATGAAATATCAAGGATTTACTATAACATCAAATGCCGATCAACACTTACAATTTTTCGATATTTGTCCAGTTTTGGATGAAATTTGGTATGCTTCCACTGAAGCTGTTGTCACTAATGCGACTGCAATCAAATAAAAAACTTAGATACGGTCCCAAATAAATATTAGTGAAGCGGTTTTAAGAAGTAACATGGAGAAGAAACTTACAAATCTCTCAACGTGGTAAGTTTTGCTAGATTTGCGGGTAACTCCCCGGTTAAGTTGTTTGAGGTAACTAGTCTTCAGAGGATGACATTGCAAACGAATTTAATCAGCAAATTAAAGAACGAAAAAGGAAAAAACCAGAAAGAAATTAAACATGAACAACTCATAATAAATTGTTCAAAGGGGAAAAATCGAAAAGTAGAACTGTCAGAATTAAAGAGCCTTACAATCTCTCTAGTTGAGGAAGATCCCCGAACTCTGGAGGGATTGGTCCAGTTAACTGATTGTACTCGATGGTCCTTCAAAATTTTAAAAATAAAAAAGCAAGAAATTCTAAATAAGATATCGATCAGCTCGATATTAATCTAAGTAAACAAGAATTGGGAAGATATATTACAGATTTGCAAGTGTACTGATGTTGGCAAGTGCTTTCGGTATTGGGCCCGTCACACGGTTCCCGAGGAGAGAACTGCATTATAACAGCATTAGCCTTTCAGTACCAAAACTCTATTCCAGAACCCTTTCTTCAATTCACAAATTCACACACACACACACACACACACATTCAACGAAGAATCAATCAACAACTCTCGCTTCAGTTAATAACCTTAAAGTCCATACACAGGAACACCAAACACACACACACACACACACACACACACACACACATATATACATGTATATATGCAAGTAATAGAGAGAGAGAGAATTGGCGTACATGTTTACGAGATTCATGGAACCCCATTCTGGAGGGATGGTGCCGTTGAGATAATTTCGGGTGAGATCACTGTGCAAATCAAATGAATTGAAAATTTGAAGAGTTTGAATTATTGAAACCCTCGAAGATTTCAGTTGGGTAATTCTGTGTGTGAAATAGTGGTGTATGAGTGTGTGTAGAGAGAGAAAGTAGACTTACATCTCTTTAAGGAAAGGGAGTCGGACGAGCTCTCGCGGGACTGTACCTTGCAGGTTCTGGGCTTTTAGAATTCTGCAATCCCACTCACCAGAAAAATGGACTAATTAATTAATCAATTATAATTATAATTACAATTTTATAAACTAATAAAACACAGTTACAATTTTCTGTTTTCTGTTACTAGTCATGCTGCAAATATCATATAACAAAACAAGTTAAAAATAGCTTATAACATATTTAACATCTTTACAAACTCTTCTAAAGTATTTGGTAATATTTCTAAAAAAATTCAATAAATAACTTGTTGGTGAGCTTTTAAGACCGTTTTTGATAAGTATCTACCATATTTTTTATTAAAGATTTTATAATGAGTAAAAATACTTGTAAGTTCATAATCCATACAATTTAAAAATAAATCTAAAAGATAATATGTAACAACTAATCAGCTCTTAATATGAGATGTAAGAGATTATCAGCTCTTTAAAATAAGTTTAGTCAAACGGACTCTAAAAAGTAACAAATACTCGACGAATTTTAGTAAATACAAGACATTTTATGTTAAAACAAAAATCACAATCTTAAACACTATACATATTTTTTTTTCAAACTTTTGTTTTTCCTACGAGGGTATAGCTAGGCCTAGGATCCAAGTCAAGCCTACTATATAGAAATTTGAAATTTCTACATTAAACAGTTTAGGTAATTAATTGAAACATCTTCAGCTACCTTAAATTAAAATCTTATTACAAATCTTCAACATAGTTTCACCCAATCTTATGATTTATGGCCCACCCTATCAATACATCTTATCCCCAATCCATAACTTCAAATAATAATAATAATAATAATAATAATAATAATAATAATAATAATAATAATAATAATAATAAATAAATAAATAAAAAAAAAAAAAAAAAACTCACATGCTAATAACATGGCATACGGTGTTATTGTCAAAGGTACAGTCACAAGTAAGTGTATTCTCAAATTCTTTAATGGCCGGGTTAAGGATAACCCAACCCGATAACCCGCTACATGGATCCACACTGAAATTCCAATCCGTCTTCCCCAAACTCTTCGCCACCACCTGCAAAGATATCACTGCACCACCAAACCAACCAAGTATATATATATAATACAACCAAGCATATTTTCAGCATATATATATATATATATATATATATATATATATATATATATATATATATATATATATATATAATACAACCAACACCATTTACTATACAGATATACATATAAATCATATATGTATTTTGTACCTTCATCAGGAGGCAGAAGGGCTGCTCCAGAAGCAAAACCCAGAAGACAAATCAACCCGAGAAACCTCGGAAAGAACATTGGGAGGGAATGGCACAGATGTAATTAATTTAGCTTTTGTTTTTGGGTGAGTGATTAATTATGAATGACGTGAGCTAAAATCCGGGTTTGGTACAAAAATAAATCCAGAGAGCTGAATTAGAGGGGGTGATGTAGGGGGACCGGGTTCAAGATAGAAATGGATCTTGGTGACTTGTTTTTCTTAAGTTTTTTTTACATGAGAAAAAAGAGAGCTAGCTGTGGAAGAATTGAGCAATATTATCGACAATATTAATTCATTATTGGTGTTTGAAGATGGCTAGCTACCTAAGATTTGCAGATAGAAAGTAGGGTGGGGGGTGGGGGTGGGGGTGGGGGTGGGGTCGTTGAAGAAGATGGATCGATGTGTGGGAGAGTGAAAAATAATTAAATGAGGAAGCTAGTTGGAATATGTATTTGAGAAAATATTGAAATAGAATAACGAAGAAGCTTCCTTACTTAAAAACACACTTCATTTTGTCAAACAAGTTGTTAGAGATATATAGCTATTTCTTATTTATAATTTTATCTTCTTTTTTTTTTTTTTACTATAAGTGATCATATATTCATTAATTTGTCAGTTATGTATTGAACGACCATCTCAACCAAAAACTTAAGCTATTAGTGAAATGTATTATCTAATAGTAATATGTGCAGAATTACATTTGAATCCTTGCACTTGATATATTTTTAAATGGGCGGCTGTGTGATTGAAACTCAGGACCTTTCATTTAGCTTTGATACCATATATTGAATGACCATCTCAACCAAAAGCTTAAGCTATTAGTGAAATGTATCATCTAATATTAATGTCTTCAATATTATGTAGATGCTACGCCGGTTGATTTTGTATGATTGATATATGTACACATAATTAATTAACACTTCCTCTGTTCCTAAATAATTTGACGTTTGAGTTTTTGCACATATATTGGGTAGTTATTTGTATATATTAATAGTGCAAAATCACCCAATATGTGTTAGCAGATGTAGGATCTGATTAGACGTTGAATTTTCGTAGACAACATGGTTAATATAATTAATGGAAATTATATATTGTACGAAAATTAATTTTATAAATTGTCACTATAATACAAGAAATTAAAGTGGCACGAATCCGACCTCTCTCATAAACTAAGTTTGGCGATGGTCAAAAAACAAATATAATATTATGGAAGTATTATTAGATAGTATTTTGATTTTTAATATAATGTTATGATTTATGATAGTTCTCACAAATTCAACTCTGATTTTTAAAATAATAATAATAAATTAAAATTAATATTAAAAAAATGTCTTTTGGATAGGGAGTTAGGTGTGGGGCAATACATAGTCCCTGTACGGTGAAAAGGAGTAATTGATTCTGTCAGGAAAAAAAAAAAAAAAAAAAAAAATAATGGGTAGTTAAATAATTATTAATAATTAGCTGTGCTAATTTGGAAGATTTGGCCACTTGTTCACATGTTTTTTTGGGGTGCATGAAATAATTGTAATAAATAAATAGGGACCCCATAAAAGGGGGGAAGATGTCTGCATGGATCGAAGACTTTTTCAACGTTCTGTTTTATTTTAAATGTTTGACAGATTGATGACCCTATCTGTTATTTGATCTATCTCTGTTTTTACCTTTTAGTAACAATTAAATTCGTATTATTGCACGAGCTGTCACCAAAATCTACTCACTACATATATTAGTTTTGCACCCGCTAAAATGGCTTAATTCCACTCTGCACCCTTGAAATATGGCATTTTAGCACTTTGCACCCTCAAAAATAATTAATGACACTTTGCACCTTTGAAATACAATAAATCATGCAGAATGCACCCCGAATGAATTTTTAAAGTAAATGAAGTCAATTTTATTTTTATTCCACGATCCTTTCGAACTATATAGTGGAAAAATAAAAATACATCACATCAACATATTTGAAAATTTTATTTTTATATATAAAAAAAAAAAAATCCTTCGCTATTTTGTTGTCAAGTTATTTGAAAAACATATTTTGTTACAAATATTTTTTTACCCATTACAATAAAAGATCCATCAATCGAATAATTTGGTGATCAAAGTCGTTTTTATTTTATTTTATAAGAAAATACAGTTGTTTCAGAAATTAGGTTGGATGTTAAAGAAAATAATAATTTAATTTGTTATTTTCCACTATAGAAATAAAGAAAAAACAATTAAAAAAAATTGTTGTTCTTATTAAGTCTTAAATATTCAATTCAGCGTGCTTTCTCATTCACAATTCAACATAATTTGTCTACAAGGAAAGACTTATCTAGTGCCGGAGCCACCATAGGGGCTAACATTTCGCAAATTCCTATTATTTATATATACGAATGTATATTTTAAACAACAAAAAAAAAAGTTGCGTACAATATAACATTAACGACCTTTTC